TGAACATAAAAACAGACACGAAAGATGAAAAATAGACAAAAAGGATTTTATTTGAGAAAATATTTCCAATTGATTCTAATTCTGATATAAATAATTCATCTTCTTGTCATAATTTCATTTTAGTTTCATACAGTCTGTACACAAAAAAAAAGAAGGTCTTCTTTGCACAAACACGAGAATTAAACCCCCCCCCCGCAATATGGCACCTATAATTTATCACAGTATGTTCAGTGTGCAAATTCATAAAATCTCCCGTGCAGAGAGCATTGAACATTACAATTTGTGTGCGTAAGAACGATGTGTATTTGCTATGGCAACAAAAAGGAACACCTTAGATAAATACATATTTGTTTTAGTAATGCTTTGGGGGAGGCTGTGGCTTTAAAAAGGAAAATTTTAGTGCATTTTAGGCGGGACACATACTAATTCAGTAAAATGGGATGTGTATAAAATTAAGGTTTGGCGAGTTGTTCACATTATATATATATATATATATATATATATGATAGCAGTGCCATCATCAATATCTTCATGACCAAGTCTCAATTACATTTGCAGGTTCTCCCTTCAGTGGCTGCCTGTTTAAAATTAAGGTTTGGCGAGTTGTTCACATTATATATATATATATATATGTGATAGCAGTGCCATCATCAATATCTTCATGACCAAGTCTCAATTACATTTGCAGGTTCTCCCTTCAGTGGCTGCCTGTAGGCAGCACAGTCAGCGTCACCCGCTGGGATAAGACCAGTTCATCACATGGAGTCTGTTTTCAATGCGTCTGTGATGAAAGATTTGTGCCAAGAGCAACAGTAAAGCACAATCCCCATCCAGCGCTGTTGAGCAGGAAACAAAATACGGCCACCCCGGTATATCTTTACAAACTATAAACAGAAATAAGGTTTGTGAAACATTAAACACACATTGATAGGATAAATTTACATGAAGAAAAAATCACATTCTTGTGTATAACTTTAAAAAACAAATCAAAAACAACAACCCTACAGGTTCCCATTAAGAACACTGCAATAATAATAAAAAATAATAATACTAATAAAATCGCGGGGTTGTGGGTTTAAAAAAAAAAAAAGAAGGTAGATATAATTAGAGGATATGGACTACCAATGTTAACCTTTTAGGACCCTTTAAGCCATCATAACACCGCAGCGCTCCCTGATCATGTGATTGGCATTCAGTGATCACATGATGAGACGTCTATCCCATCAGCTCCTAAGCTTCACCGTGTGACCAGGAGCGGTCGGTAAGAGTGCGGTCATTGTGCTGGGCTCCACCCCAGCAAAAAACATATGCTGGCCATATGCATATATGTGATTGCAGGGTAAAAGGCCCCATTCACACTAAGCGACATACCTTTTGCAGCGGATCCGCGTGGCGGGGAATAGCGCGACTTTCCAGCCACAGTAGCGCGACCTTCACCGTCAGGCTCCATTTTGAAAATCGCGCAAAATCCGCCAAAAAAAAAGGGTCCTGCTGGAGCGACATGGAGCTAAGACAGCTCCATTGCATAGCATTGGTCGGCGATTTCTCGCGATATCGCGGCGGAAATCGCTTAGTGTGAATGGGGCCTCAAGCTCACCTCCATGCTGCCACATGTGTACGGATGATGGGAAGGGGTTAAGGCAGCTTTAAGGGCTCATTTACAGGCAGCAGCACATCTTACATGCATTCGTTTTGAACGGCAGCCCAAGCATTAGTATTAATGCTTAGGCCTTACAGCGCCTCGCATGAGTATTTACAAATTTTGTGACGGGTCTCATTTTCAAGACAATTTTGGCGTCAATGAGCCCTTAATATTGAAAACAGCAGTTGGAAGAGAAGCTGAAAACAGCCCAACCACCATCTACTTCAAGTAGAGGATGCAGATTTGTATTGGATATATGGTGGGGAGATGGGCTGTGTAATCAAGCCCAGCCATCAGACCTCATAAATCGCTCCAAGAATTATTGGCCCGGGGCTATCTTCTTTTTATAGACAAACAGCTGATCTGATCGACAGATATAGAACATGGCGCTGGAGGCCTTTTGCCATCACAAATCTATCTTTGCAAAGGGGTATTAAGTTTTCTTCTTCTTCATTGAATCATCTCCCGTCAAGTCCTAGGCAGGAGCTCTTTTATTAATGTAATAAAAATGTGATCTCCTTCCAAAAAGTTATAGGTGAATGGACGTAAGGGAGAGGCGTGTGTACAAATTCACTGTACAGCTAACCTCCCACCATATACACTTCCATACAGGAAGCACCGTCATAAAAGGCACATCATGGGTCGAATATGTTTAGAGGAGATCTTCAGGACGTTCATGCGGAAGAGGACTGGGAGACAAAAGTGCCCAGTGAGGGATTTTACAATGTCTAACTGAAGCAATGCAAAACCGCTGAAAATCAGAGCTGTGCCCAAGCCACCCTAGAAGCTCCCCTTCAAAATCACAGGTGGGTCTGACTCTAAAAGATGAAGGTAGAAGAGTACCTAAAAAAGGCTAAAGCACTGTCCAAGAAATAAAAACTGGCACAATCCAGAAATTCTTTTGTTTATGCGAATGGTGTGAGTCTTGGAAATAAAAGTGATTGTATTTCAAGTCATCAAAGAAGTCACAGTTCCCTAGACTGGGCTAAAAAGGACCTGTAAAAGCTGTTGAGGAGCTATAGGAGCCATCTTGAACCAACAGGCCAATGACCCGAGGCCACAGAGCTGCCCCGCTAGTTTTTCCTCAGATATTCCTGAGAGTCTGACATGACATTTGGATCTCAGTATCCTACATATTTAGGAAACAGACCCTAAAAGATTGTTTGGAGGATGGTAAGACCAGGAAACGGGTCTCCTGTTAATCCTCTCCGCCAACGTCGAGTTTTCTTTGCGATATGTAAACAGGTCCCTGAGATCCTCCGTTAGGAGTAGCGGATGCGATCGGTGAAGATGTCACACCCCCAGGGGTGCGGAAGAAGTTGTCCTTGAGTGGTTGAGATCCTTTAGGAGTGAGAGGAACCCCTGCCTGTAGAAAGACAAGGAAAAAACAAAAAAAAAAAAAACACATTTAGAGCTGAACCCAAGCCTTTCTCTATGTCCTGCAGGCAGCAGTAGAACCCTAGGTTGCTTATTGCCAAGCTGTGTCCCTCAATGGATGACAAGGGGGGGAAAAAAACAGATCTACTGGCAGAATCAATGTTACAAGAGACAGGCTGCATCATGCATGTAATTTTTATTCTACCCTTTAATGTTCTGCTTTAAAAGGTTTGTACTTTGAACAAGTTTATCAAGACATACCTGCGGTACAGCGAAGAGTGTGAAGGGCTGCCCATGATATGGGATGGGCGAAAGGTGTTTAAAGTTTAACATTTGGGCTGCCTGCAGCTCCTCTTGATGTTTCCTGTTTCGTGGAGAGATGGTAATGGGGTGCGAGCTGCCACAAGGAGGAGATATCAGGTCCTTGTTGTGTAGGGTGAAGTTCAGTATCCCAGGACTAGGGCAGGAAGAACCGGAAGCAGTCCCAGGCATAGGAGCCACCGAGCCCGGCGATAACATGAACTTCAGTGGGATGAGTCCTGGAAAGGTAAAAGAGTGTTACAATCCGGCTAATAACTTTCTATAACAAACCTAAATTTTGTTTAGACGCGGTGGGCTGTCTCAACCATCAGCGTGTTATCTGAATGATGCAACGCAATGGGGACTTTTTCACACCAAGACTTCAGTGCGGAGCTGCTGTCAATCAACAAAGCAAAGCATCCCGTAAGTCCAAGCAGCAAATGCAGGGACACAATCTGACCACAGATCCATGCTTTGCATGGTCAGAGTGAAAGAGGAAGACATGGGATATTTTGTCTGGTTTGCTGGCAATGTCTTTGTCAGTTAGGGTCTGACAAATACATATGCTGGCCATATTATTATACAGGATTTATATAGCGCCAACAATTTGCTCAGTGCTTTATGCCATATATGTGATTGCATGGTATAAAGCCCACCTCCATGCTGCCACATATATGTGTACGGATGAAGGGAAGGGGTTAAGGTAGCTTTAAGGCTGGGTTCACACCTAGGTGTATCGAATATGCACGTTTGTCACGCGTTTCCGAGGGCTACTTGGCTGTATCCCAATGGAAACGCGCGACAAAAATGCCCCAAAGAAGCTCCAGTACTTCTTTGGGCGTAGGGTGTTTTGTAGCACGTTCATACGGCCTGTAGTACGCCCAGGTGTGAACCATACCTATAGGAAACAATGGGATTTCAGTGTTAGAGCGTTTTGCAGAGCGTCCGAACGCGCTACAAAATGCCCAGGTGTGAACCAGGCCTAAGGGCTCATTTAAAAGCAGCAGCACATCTTACATGCATTCATTTTGAATGGCAGCCCAAGCATGTGTCTGGAGAACTGCTCATACAAATCAGAGTCCAGCACTGCAGCAGCTAACCATCTAAAAATCAGGAAAATACCTAAAGACAAAAATAAAAAAAAAAAGCTTGCATACAAGTTACCGCTGGTAGCCAAGTGATGGATTTCCTACCTGTGACAGGAGACGTGAATATCTTCTGATCTGTACAGGAAGTGGTGTGATCTTTCCCAGACTCATTGCCGATCGATGCTAGTTGCAAGGGGATCAGATAACCGGAAGGGATCATTCGCTGTAGAAACAATAAAATCAACAGTCACGTCAGGTAGCAAGCCAGACACATTTCAGCCAAGACTTCAGCATGACTCCTGTTGCTCATAGCCACCATTATAAATAATGGGCATGTGTATATTTAAATTAATCGTTTTGCATCTGTTAACATTGCAAATTTAGGTGTGCATATCTCTAGATTTGTACGAGAAGTCTCAAGCTTCCAAGGACTCAAGCAGGGGAAGAAATTCGTCAATGATTGACAGGTGGAGGGTGATAGTCTATGTCACCTTTTGCAATTAGGTGTAGCAAGTGAGATGAGAAGCAGTGTTCAACTCCATATTATTATAATTAAAAGGGGGGGGGGGCACCTGCAGTCAAAGTAGCAAGGACACAAGAAGCCTGAATATCTAGGCTCCAAAATGGGCTGCCCCCAGTGACAAGGAACATTTCTGAGCTTAGATAATCACATCCATGTCTATGCTGTTCCCCCCACCCCTGTATCATTTTCAATGGTTTAAGATTAATTAGGGATGCACCGATACCACTTTTTTAAGACCGAGTACCGATACTTTTGATCAAGTACTCGCAGATACCAATTACCGATACTTTTTCTTAAAAGGACCGGGTCACATTTTTTCTAAAGCAATACAAACTAATGCTTTAAGGTCACTTTCTTAATATTATGATTCATGAGATGACGAGGGAGCATGACGCCGGCTTCCCGGCCAATCAGAATGCCGGGCGCTGCGTCATTACACGGCGCCCGGCTTCCGGATTTGCTAGCTTCCTGACCAATCGGGAAGCCGGGGAGCGCGTCATTGCACGCTACCCGGCTTCCCGATTGGCCGGGAAGTCGGCTCCATGCTCTCTCATCACAAGTGACGAGAGAGCATGGAGCCGTTTCCTGGCCAATCAGGAAACTGGGCAGCGTGTAATGATGCGCTGCCCGGCTTCCTGATACAGGAAGTACTCGTGCTAGGTATCGGAGCATTTGGGCGAGTACGAGTACTCACCCAAAAATACTTGGTATCGGCACCGATACTAGCATCGGTGCATCCCTAATGACTAACATATCAAAATTAAAACTCAAGCAACAAACCTCAGCCAAATCCTCTTGTCCCGAAACTTTAATCCTTTTGGAGCCGCTATTGTCAGGTTCTGGGAGTTTCCTGTAACATTTCTCATGTGGAGAATCATTCTCAGCTGGCCCACCGGATACAGGTACCTTCTTGTCATCTTCCAATGCGTTCTTCTCACCATGAGCTGCTTCAAGCACAGGTTTCTGAGCAGACAGGATGGTGTGTCCCTGAATACTGTGAGGATGCTGCAGATAGACAGCATAAGGGGTCGGGGAGTTGGCGTGAGGCTGGACGAGAGGCAGAGCCTGGTAAATAACCGGACTGAGAGGCTGCAACTGTGCGTTCTGAGGCTTTAGTATGACCTTGGTGTTCCCACTGGGGGCTCCTCTTGACATCTTGATTTTCATCTTCTTTACATCCCTGCAGTTTATGGAAGAAAACCAATATGCTTAAAAAACACAGAGAATAAGTGCACTTATCCTTTTTCCCCCTTCCCCTGACCTAACCTGCCCCCCGCCCCCCCTTTACCGATGCATACTTACCTTGATCAGACAGCTGCAGTTCTGCTGCTTGTTTACATCCAGAGCTGCAAGTATTTACTGCCCGGGTCGTGCTTATGCATTATATCACCAAAGACTTCTCTGGGACTAGCCCCTGACCTTAGACAGTCTCTTGGGAGCCACTGTCCTGGCCGCGGCTGAGCATTACTTTTCCATAGACGTCTATGGCACTGTCTCCGGCATCAGCTTCATAGAAGTCTAATGTGCAGGTGCGGCCAGGGGAGTAAAGTGTTGCACCGCTGGATGTAAACACACAGCAGAACAATGGCCATCAGATCAAGGTAAGAATGCATCTGTGGGGGGAGGGGGGGAATGTGGGATCGGTTAGCTCAAGGAAAATTGGCAAAAGGATAAAATGTACTTATGAACTTATTCTTTAAACGTACCGTATTTTGCGGTCCATAACACACACCTGACCATAGGACGCGTGTAGTTCCTGACAGGTGGCGCTGTGATTACAGCGCCACGGTCTCAGTGATCACACAGAGCAGACGTTCTTCATCTTCTCTACGGGCTCTATGGTGAGCTCCTATGCCGTGGTCACGGGTCCCCCAGAGAAGCCGGACAGGATCGCCGCTGCTCATTTCATACAAGTGATCTAATCAGATCACTTGTATGAAAACGAGCGGCGGCTCCACACTATACATTTAGCTCTGCTTGTCAGGAGCAGGGCTAAATGTACAAAAAAAACCTACTTGCCCGGCGCCCGAAACTGCATGTCCCGGGCTTCGGGCGATAGGGATTCCACACCCCTGGGTACACATTCACTCCATAAGACGCACAGACATTTTTGTCCGCCTTTTGGGGGGAAAAAGTGTGTCTTATGGAGCGAAAAATACGGTATATATAAAGCTAAAGCTTTTATTTTATTAAGTTTTGGATAAAGTAGGGAACGGTTATTAAAATCTCCATCCCACTGAAAGACATTTCTTGCAATCTTCTGCTGGTGACAACTCAAAATTCTCAATCTTCCCGCACTTTTAGACCTCATGACAATGGTCACCGGGCCAATTAGAGGGGGTGCGTTTCCCTTCCCCCAGCAGGAACACCGACAGCAATAAAGACTTGATGATAAAATATCAAAGATCGGATAGGGTTCTAACCCCTCAGCACTCTATACAAAAAGAAAAAAAAAAAAGAAAAAAAAAGATTTTGGCTTTAGATACAATTCAGGTGGAAATCTTGTCAGCGGCTAGGAAGAGCCCCCACTAAGGCCTCAATCACACTGCCGCGCATATAGTACCATATGCAAATAAATGGCTCCATACATGTAGCTGCGTATGGAGCCGTATATTTGCGTAGCGTAAAAATGCGCAAAAACAGAATGGAACCGAGATGCGTCCGGGCAGCGTATTTCTGCGCATACAGGTGTGTTTGCGTGCATATATACGCACATACAGTTCATTAACATTTCTATTATGAATGATGCATTGTAGGATTGCCAGTAGTGCACGCATATACAATTTTGCTCTTGCGTTGTGTGTGAATGAGGCCTAACAGGGAGGGGGTTCTGCTCATTCATTGTTTATGAAGATATACGTGGCTAAAAAAAACGCACCAAAAGGAAGCTTAAGTAAAAACAAACCACCAGTATTTAAACTGGAATCAAATGCTATTTTATATGAAAAGTGATACGCAGAGCGAATGCCTTCAGAGGCAGACAAAGCAGCTGTCCCTGGGATTACACCCCGGTCTCCTGTAAGAAGCCGGGATCAGCATGTACAACTAAGAAATGTCACGATTGCCTCAGTGGTAAAAACTGACTCATCTTCTAGGTGCAAAAGGTACCTATTCAGTCTCATTGAAGAAGTTAAGTTTCAGCCAGCAAGCAGCAGTAATCACTGCAAATACTAAACTTTCAGTTACTACAGTAAGTTCCATTCCAAAATGTTATCGTCGGTTACAGAACTTAGTCACGGCTTTACCTTACTGAAAAATGGGATCTTTGTACTCACTTTAAAATCATTTTCTTGAAGTCCATTGAGGGACACAGGAAGTCTAAAAACTTTGGGTTATACTTCTGCCTACAGGAAGACTGGGCACAAACAAAAACTGCAGACCATCTGAGGATAACCCCTTCTACCGGTAGTATCAGCAGGCCTATGTTTTGTAGCAAAGCAGTTCCAGGAGCATGAACATAGGAGGTGGGACCCGTATCCCTCAATGGACTCCCACGGATGGGGAGAGTCAAAATGGGAGAACGCCTGGACAAAAGGTCTTCAAGAGTGAGAGGCGAATGGTGTCTGAAACTGAATGGAAAGAGCAGACATCCTGTGTCCCTCAGACGAGAAAGAAATAAAACTTCCTACACAATACATATAGTGTACCAATACTTTACACGCCACACAATAGCTTTTTCACACATTAAAAACGACAAAACGTTTTAAAAGTTGTTTGCATAGAACACTCACAATAAAACAACCTCAAACAAACTCTTACTTTGTCTGATCGAGCTGCTCTTTACAGATCGCAGCGAGTTGAGCCATCTTGCTGGGGACAGAGGGGTCACTGGAATCTGCTTATAACAAATACATAAAAAAGTAATATTGATATTTGATGAATACACATTAAAATGGTCATTATATAAATCGATAGCTAAAAATGTAGCATTTTTGAAGATATAAAATGAAAAAAGTGCCCAATAATGAACACAAAGAAGCTGTTGAGAACCTTCACTCAATATAAACTGTGTGAATATTCACTCCAGAGGGTTGTTTTAAAGGAGAACTATGGGGTTAAGGCTTTTCCCCATAGTTCTCCTTAAGGTAACGGGAGGACACAAACTAGTGTCCTCCCGTCACCCAAAGCTCATACTGAGACGCCGCAGCTGAAGCGGATCTCGACAATTATGTCTGGATCTGCCCAGCTGCGTGACTGACGGCTGGCTCTGCCTATCTAGGAGGCAGAGCCAGCTGTACCCGCCCCCGTCCGTTCCGCCAGTCAGCCCTGGAGGATCGGAGCGGGGGAATCCAGCACCTCCCCTGTCACGGCAGAGAACGCCGCTATGTGTTCGCTCACTTCCCGATCTACTGAGCCGACCTGTGACAGTCTCATTGTCACAGGTCGGCTAGAACTATGAGATGAGTGGAAAAGCACTCACCTCATAGTTCTCCTTTAATAAAGAAAAATAGGTTGTTCACTTTGCAAGGGAATTTGCACTTCGCAGGGGAAGTTTTTCCTTACCTTAGTGAATGAGGTGAAATTTCACTTTGCAAAGACTATCCGATCATGTGCAAGGGAAATAAGAGAACAGTAATTTTGTTTGCACATGATTGGATGATGGAAGTCAGCAGAGCTTCACCTCATTCACTAACCTAAGGGAAAACTTCCACTGCAAAGTGTAAATTCCCTGGCAAAGTGAGCAGCCTATTTGCGGTTAATAAATCACAATCCCAATTATCCAAACACGTGAAAACCATAGTCCTGTTCACTTTGAATACCCAATCCTGTGCAGATGATTTTCACACGCTTGAATACACCTACAAACATCACCGCTGTGGACAATTCCCTGGCAGCAACCAGCAGTACTTGCTCAGCCTCCCTGGATCCAGCGACTGCCCACAACATGCAAAAATCCAGGCTGCTTTTTTTTTTTGCTGGTATTGCAATAAGCTTTATTCAGAGCAAACAAGTTAATCAGGAATATCATTCCCAGCGAGACATGACGCCAAGACATTTTGATAGCAATATGGGCTTAGTCCAAGCGAAGTGAGCGAACACATACCGGCGTTCTCTGCCGTGACAGGGGAGGGGCTGGATTCCCCCCTCCCCGCTCCGATCCTCCAGGGCTGACTGGCGGAACGGACGGGGTAGGGGGCGGGTACAGCTGGCTCTGCCTCTAGATAGGCAGAGCCAGCCGTCAGTCACGCAGCTGGGCAGATCCAGACATAACTGTCGAGATCCGCTTCAGCTGCGGCGTCTCAGTATACTGCGAGCTGTAGCACGACCAAAACCATATTGTGGGTGAAACATGTCAGAGGGGGACTCGCACCTGGCAGGGAATAATATTCTGGATTGTCGGCTTGTTTGGGTTAATAAAACTCATTGCGATTCAAGCAACACAAAGAACAGTGGCGGCGCCCTGGATGTTCACATGTCATGACTGGATGATAAAAAAAAACGTGAAGATTTTCAACTCCTTTAGTAAATAAGCCTCAATAGTTCCATTCTTTTACTGATAAGATCCCCCCTGCCTTCTATGAAGAGAAAGTCAAGTGGCTGAGCAGAGGGTTGTGTCCTCCCGTTACCCTAAGGAGAACTATGGGGAAAAGCCTTAACCCCACAGTTCTCCTTTAAAGCATATATAAACCCAACAACAAAAATGTAATGTATTGCAGCTTACTAGTCCTCAGATGTGGTAGCTACATTAGTTTTATTTTCAGGCTTCCTCCCCCTATATTTGTATCTGCTTATCCCTTCTATCCTAGGGTGGAAACACTTGCTGTATCTATAGAGATACATCATACCTATGCTGCTCTCCTGCTCTGGACTACAGAAATTCCTTTTTAATAACACGAGGGTAGGAGTTCTGTAGGCCACAGAGGAGAACTTGGATCAATGCTAATAGGAGTGAAGCACAGGCAGGCATGCTAACCCAAGAACAATTTACATTAAACGAAGAATAAATGTACACACCGCTCTTCACAGGACTGCTGGGGGCAGAGTTGATCTTCCTCCTGTCGTTTTCTATACTCCTGGCCAGTTTGATTAAAGACTGGTGGCGAGTGAAGCTCTGCTTTCCACGGGAGGAAAAGAGATTCTTAGCACAATTCTCCTTAGGAGATCTCAGATCCAGAGCTACGGAGCTATGCAAAATGTGGCCAGGAAAGGACTCTGAAACACAAGGAGAAAGACTGGTTAGCACATGGACTGGCCACATAATGGAAAGGAGTGCTGAAGAACTCTACAGCGTTCTATAGTTTGTGCGTCTTTGGGCAAAACTTTTTCTTTAAAAAAAGGATACATGTGTTTAAAGGAGAACTCGGAAAAACATTAACAGCAACCTTTCAAGTGGGGCCATCGTTTTGGTCTAGGGAGGAAAATTAAGTTATACTCACCCGATCCTCTGAGACGGCTTGGTCTTAGACTGATGCAATGGAAAGAGGCATCAGGGACTTGTCTAAGGTTCTGTAAATCAGCACATCCAATACACCACGGACGCTGAGGGATAACCTTTGCTACAGTATAGGAGGAGACCGTCAGGAGGGAGCGCCGCCACGAGGGCTGGCTCGGAGGATTGGGCGAATATAACTGATATTTTTTCTCCCTAGACCAAAATGAGCACTTAACCCTTGCAATGCGGGGGTAGCCCCACTACAAGGGTTAATCATTTCCCCCAGAGTTCTGCTTTAAAACCTGACCTAAAGCCCCCTCCCCCCACCCCCCCGATACATGCATATCTTCACTGTCCTGGCACATTAGTGCTTCATAGACTTCTATGGGGCTGTGCCCTGAGGCCATAGTAGTCTATGGAGCACTAATGCGCAGGTGCTGCCAGGACACTGAAGGCTTGGATGTAAATGAATAGCGGAACCATGGCCATCAGATCGAAATAAGTATGCATCTGTGAAGGGGGAGGGTAGGGTAGGGTAGATTGGGTTAGGTCAGGGGGCAAAAAGGATAAACTACTTTTCAAAATCCCTTGAGTTTTAGAAAGCAGTGTTAGAAGTGTCTGTATCCGCCAATGGTAACAGAAACGTTTTCACTTAGAGGTGGTGAGGTAAAATCTTCCAGTGGGGACAATTTCCTTGACAGCTAGTGACTTTCAGAGATTTTCAAAATCACTTCCTATGATCTTTCAAAAAGACCTTTCTGCGTCTTTCATGGAAACAACATGGCTATCGACGACGCTACTCCCAAGCATTGCTATCCTGGGCGATCAGAAGAGCAGCTGAGTGGCCAACTCGAGGAGCACACACGGCAGGCTGACAACACTACTGCCAATTGCAAAGCAGTGGCTAAGCGTTATCAAGTTGCAACAGGAAGTGCGGTTACTGGCAGAATCTCCCTTTGCAACCAATTCCCGCTAAAATGATTTGCTTCTGGCCGCTGTATACAGTTCGGCATGACACCAAACAAAAAATATTATGGGGTCACTTTAAAGTGCCCAGATAAATGGTTGTTGACCTCACCTTGCGGTTCTGTACAAGCGTCAGGCCCCGTCCACTGGAACGCTGGCTTCCGCCCCCTCTCCTCTGTCACATGGACTTTCTTTATGAGTCCCAGGCTGCTCAGGACATTGGCTATGTCATATAAACGCCGGATTTTTGCTGCGGAGAAGAGAAAAATACAAATAAGCTGAATGTACTCGATATTGAAAATTTCACTGAGCCCCGCGTGGACCCAAACATATCCCCAATTCAATTTCACAAACAGCACATCACACAGAGGGCTGCTATAGGATCAGATCCCATGTTCATTTTGTGACTAGGAGTAACGTGTTTAAAATAACAGTAAACAAAAAAAAGTTTTTACCTGTTCGCCTATTTATTCTAGCGCTGACTGGCGGAACGGACGGGGGAAGGGCGGGTACAGCTGGCTCTGTCTCTAGATAGGCAGATCCAGCTGTCAGTCACTCAGCTGGGCGGATCCTGGCACAATTATCGGAATCCGCTTCAGCTGCGGCGTCTCAGTATACTGGGAGCTACAGCTCGCGGTATACTGAGCCTAGGGTGACGGGAGGACGCTAGTTTGTGTCCTCCCGTTACCCTAAGGAGAACTATGGGGAACAGCCTGAACCCCATAGTTCTCCTTTAAAGAAGACCTCTGGGCAAGGGCTAAGTGCTTGTTTTGGTTTAGGGTGTAAAAGAAGAAGAAGAGAAAAAAAAAAAAAAAATACCCTCACCCAACCTATAGCGGTGTGACTGCCCACCTCTCTCCCCCTTTCACTTTGGCTGTAGAATGTCCCTCGGCAGCCTCAAATCCAATGCAAGTGAATGGATGTGATGACGTCACAGGTCCTTAGACCACCAGAGCCCTGGGGAGAAAAGGCTGCAGGGATCATATTACCAGCCAGGAAGACCGAGGATCAGATGAGTATATCAATTTTATTTTACACTCTAGACCAGGGGTAGCCAAACTCCGGCCCTCCAGCTGTGGTGGAACTACAAATCCCATGAGGCATTGCACGATTCTCACAGCCACGACTCCCGGAAAGAGATGCATCATGGGATTTGTAGTTTCACCACAACTGGAGGGCCAGGAGTTTGGCTACCCCTGCTCTAGACCAAAACAAGAACTTAAAAAGTAGAACTATGAGGTGAGTGACTTTCACTCATCCTTCGAGCCGACGTGTGATAATGAAACTGTCACCCGTCGGCTCAATAGATCGGGACGTGAGCGAACACATACCGTCGCTCGCTCACATCTCGATCATGTCCCTGCAGAGAGCCATGACTGTCACTCACGGCTCCCCCCCTCCCCTGTCCGATCCTCCAGGGCTGACTGG